TTTTTGTCTTTGGGTTTATTATTTGCTAGTATTTGTATTGTTGAGCTGTGATTTGTGTCTATGCCTAACATCCAAATTTAATATTCTTCACGTATATACTAAAAATAAGATTATACGCAAAAAAATTATTTTACGCATATATAATTAATTATATTCCTGCTGGTGGAATGAACAGACTTTATACAAATTAATAGTGAACACCAAAAATATGTTGTTAGGTTTGATATCGCTTTAAAATTAAATACTTAATAAATAGCCTTTCTTGAATATATAAATTTTCGGAATAAATAAGAGAATAATTCAGTAGAGCCTTGTGTCTTAGTTATCAATGCAGCATCCAATGATTTTATTTTGTTTTTCTCAACGAGCCTACCGCAGAGGCTGCTCCGTTGATCGGTTCACCTCATCTCTTTTGATATTACTTTATTTATTGACATGAAGGTTACATTTAGGACGTTGAAGCAGCAAACTTTCGTACTTGATGTCGAAGAAAACGATTCTGTAATTCACATTTGATTTATATGCATCAGGTCCTCGATGTGAAGAGCAAGATCGAGTTGGAACGTGGCGACGAGTTCCCAGTAGCCTGTCAGAAATTAATTTATGCAGGTATTATTTATTGGGGCCTTTTCTAATATTAGGGCAAATAATGGATGATGTAAAATCCCTCAAGGAGTATAAAGTCAGTGAGAGAGGGTTTATTGTTGTAATATCCACCACGAGGTCTGTGAAAGAGGCTCCTGCATCCACCAACAAAAAGGTAACCCTTTTCTCTTTTACTTTCCGTTTAGAGTACAGAGACGCCCCTTCCAGAAAAATCTAATCCCAGTTCTCCCTCTCTTAAAGAAGATGCTCCAGCAATTACTGTTGCTTCATCTAACCCACCCACTCAAATTTCAGCTCCAGCTACTTTACCTACTTCAGACCCACCAGCATCTATGTCTGCAGCCGAAGTGTCTTCAGCTGATAGCGAAAGTGCTCTTGTTGTTGGTCCAGAATATGAAAGAACGGTTCGAGAGATGATGTGCATGGGCTTTGATCGAGACCGGGTACTACTAATTTTTTGTCCTTATATTTAAAGGTCGTCAAAGCTCTTCGTGCCAGTTTTAATAACCCTAACAGAGCAGTAGAGTATTTGATAACAGGTCAAATACCCGATTCCACGATGGAAGAGGAGGCCGCACCTCGTTCAGACCAAGCTCGCATACCCAGCGATGCAGCTCCCCCAAG